CCAAACATAATTACAAAATTTCAACTAGTTTCATAAAGAATAACGAAAGATATAATTGACTGAATACATCAAAATGGATTTCTATTCGGACAACCCTTTCTGAGCGCTGATTGGCTAAAATACGAACACGAGATCACCTGGTTGACGACACAAGGTTGTAACAGTATTGTTATATCATGACTGTATTGGGCTTATTGGAACTGCCTTGCAACAAGCCTGATAATATCAACAAGGTTGTTAACAGCTTGTTCCAAACTTGTTGACAACTTGGGACAAGCAGTGCGAACAACTTGTTGACGGCTTGTTGGCAGACTTGCTACAAGTTGGGTGATTTTTACGTGTCTACCACCATACAGCAACAGATGATATTTTTTTCAGGCGGTATTTTCTTGGTCACTGGAAATACTGATCACAACATCAGAATATACCAACTGTTATCTGGTTCTCCTGAGAGAATCGCCGAATTATCTTCACATTTGGTATTAGATCTTCTTACAGATTTTATTCTGAATTTCATAGAGTACAGTAGAGTCCCGCGAACGATTAAAGTACGACTAACCACAAATACGATTTTTGGTATGTGTAATATTTGGGTCATTCGAAGAATAAATGTAATATATCTTTATAATAAAAAATTCCATCTTTATCAACTTTTTCACTGTCAAAGTTTCTGGATATGATGTCATTAGGTGAATTGCAAATTACTTTTCCTTTGTTTTTTGTACCAAAAATTCACCTAATGGAACTTTGATGGTGAAAACGTTGAGGATGAGGTTTTGTACTATAAAGATACATTACATTTCTTCTTAGAATGATCCAAATATTACACATACAGGTACCAAAATTTACATTTAGGGTTAGTCGCACTTTAAGGTTGTAAAGAAACAGCAGCGAAAATTAAGGTCTTCACAATGACGCAAAGTGTGGATTTTTTTGGAAGTAGAAATGCTTACGTAATCTTTATACTTGAAGCATAATCATTCGAAAGAAGCAAATTGTGTGTTGCTATGGTAACAATGTGGCCTAAGAGACAGCAGATAAAGATCAAATTTTGGACGAAAAATGAATTTATTACAATTTCCTTCGGTCAAAGTTTCTGAAATTTTGTAGGTGTAAAGAGAATATCTAGTGTAAGATTATATCAAAAAATTAGGGCGGGTTATAAATTCAGTTTAAATGGAGTTAATGAAAATTGCCTTGAATCGTGGACTTTGTAAGTATTAACGAACATTTTCTTCAAATCTTTTTTCAGGATCATGTTGATAGCATACAGTTTAGTCATTCAAGTGAAAGGTGTGTATAGTAATTGTCGATGTTATTTACCTACAGTATATTTAAAGATCCAGTACAGGACATCCCATATTGGTTCAGTTTTACTAATTTGGTCACCAACCAGTGGTGCCTAAATTACTTTGAATTTGTACTCGAGTAAAAGTGGAAGTAATTAACAATAGGCAAAACGTACTTAAGTAAAAAGTACAAAGTATCCTTAAAAAATACTTGAAGTAAAAAGTAAAAGTACCATTGTCTGTAGGGGGGGGGGGTCTCCAATGGATTGACATACAAAAGACACAAAACATCACACACATTATATGCGCGCACCTATAATATACAATATTTCGCGGCATGGTCTACTTTCCAGACCCCGTTGAAGATATAAGAAATTCCTTAAATAAATAATGCTTATAAGGAAGCCACAAACGAGAGATCCCAGACGCATGTAGAGGTCCTATTACATATCCCAAAATTAAAATAAATCCCGAATAAATCTCGTAAAATTAAACAAAAGTTAGAAAGAAACGAAATACTTTGCCACAAAATGAAAATAACGAAGTGAAACGTTGCTTCTTAAAACGACTTCGTTCGAAGTAAAAGTACTCCAGAAAAAGTTTACTTTGTTACATGCTGACTTCTCAAAAATAGTACTCAAGTACATTTACTTCGTTATTTGACACAACATGCCTGTAGATTTTATTTGGGGGTAGCCAATCTTCAAATGGAGCAGTGACGTTACTTTGTGCTAAAGGGCCCCCGGCTTAAACTGGAATAGGGCCGTTGGTCCTGCCCCAGATAGTGTCATTCCTTAGCCCCCGTATACTTTTACAGATTTCTCAGCGGTTCAAAAGATGGAACAGCAAGGATTTGGTATTACCAACGTTCTGAATGGAAGAGTTTCGTATTAAACAGCCAGCAACAGTTAGCAGGGTACGTACAATATGATTAGAAGGTATCGATAATTATCGATATACCACAACAGCCTAATTGTAACAATTTTTCCTGACGTATAGATCATCACCGTTCCGAGACGAGGATACGAACAAGATTACAAAAATACGGGTGACCATGGTACGAAAATTGTATAAATGTCTGCTATTTTGAAAGATATTGGCAATAAAAAATTAGTTTAGGGAGTGTTCATTATTTATAGCCGGGGTTGGTACTGAAGAGAAACTAATCGAAAAGAGAAAAAAACGACCACCCACCCTTTCGGTCAACCATTTTTTTCCCTACCCAACTATTGCATGACTTGGATTTTTATTTTACCCAACCCAATTTCAAAATTATACAAGTATTTTACATACATACATATATATTATTATACAAGCTAGGCCACTATAGTATAAACAGTATATGCATATTTGGTGCACTAACTGAATGTCAAATATAATCATTTGTACCTTCACAAGTTCATATTATGTTCCCAAGCCTCCAAGTTTCTGCAGTCCTACTATGTCTCGTTGTTGTAATCAAAGGGGATGGGGAGTTGGGGTTTAGTTTTCTATGTGCAGAATGAATGGATATTTCCTGGAATGACCCATTTTGTTAAATAAAGGATTTTCGTATTTTGTTCTATTGAAGCTTTGTATTGAAAATAATTTACCCAACCATAGGCTTTGTTCAAAAAATATTTACCCAACCCTTCATACCCCAGAAAAATGGCTTACCCAACCCAAATCTCTTCGGTATCAACCCCGGGTATAAATAATGAACACTCCCTTAGACTTCAGTTCATTTGAAAGAACTCTTAAAACTATATATTAAACTTTACTAAAGATTGTTTATATCTTGCTTAGTTTTCTAAATATTTCGACTGAAAAAAGTGAGCTGTTCGCCATCTTGTATTATTGAGGATATGCATGTTACGTCAAGAGAGGGGTCACGCTAATTTTTTTATATTGAAAGTAAACGATCAAATATGGGTCCAAAACTTCGTTTCTGGTTGCTGTCTGAAATTTAGAAATTATTAAAAACATGTCAAACAATTTTGGAATGTTACTCGGTCATAGTTTAATATGGTTAACCCAACTCCTGACGTCATCAAAACCATAGTTAATGAGGTCAAGAATTAGTCCAAGATGGCGGAAAGCTCATTAATTTGGGTCTAAATATTTCGAGAACTAAGCAAGATATGACAAATCGGTAATAGAGTTTAATATATAATTTTAAGAGTTCTTTTGAATGAGACAAACTAATTTTTTTATTGCCAATCTCCTTTAAACACATTGACTGTTCAAATATTGTATTCTGATCATGACTGTGTGTTCGTTAGGTGGGCTGGGATTTGTCAGATCAGTTTGTAATCACGGCCATAAATGATCACAGTGTCAAAGTGTGGGAATCTAAAACTGGCAAGCTCATTTATGTTCTCAAGGTACTACGTTTGTTATGAATTGTATAATTATCATTAATTTGTATATAAATCCGTCAATCATCTTAATTTATTGGACGTAAAGGAATATGAACTTTATTTCAGAGTCATCATGATGAGATCTTTATCATTGAAGCCCACCCAACCAACCCACAACTTCTCCTGACTGCGGGCCATGACGGTTACATAATTTTGTGGAATCTGACTGTTGGAAAGATCGTCAAGAAGTTTTATAACTCGGTGAGTAAACGATGGTTGATGTTTAACCTCCGCACGCTAGAAACGTACATTGTATTTCATTTTTTGGCACTGAATTTCGAAAATTGCCAATCACGATTGAGAAATTTTTCATGTATATTATTATTATTAAAGTGCTTATGACACGAAATTTCACCCCAAAGGTTTATGGTTGCATCGTAAAGATCACTTAAAATGATTTAATAAATTCTTTTATAGAATTTTGGTAACTTCTTCCCTTTTCAAGATATTCAACTTTGTTTCATATGCAAATATCACCGGTGTGACATCACATCACATCACATCACATAATGAGTTTTCAGAAACGTATAGTTTTCTTGACGAATATACGTATTTAAACAACTTAAAAATTTCCCTTGTATATGTATCAATTTTATAACTGGTAATTACCCCTCTGTATTTGTTTCTAAAAATATTTTATCAAGGTAAAATATTGCGTTTTCAAAATGTCATTATGCGATGTGATGTCACACCGGTGATATTTGCATATGAAACAAAGTTGAATATCTTGCAAAGGAAGCAAGTTACCAAAATTCTGGCACTTTAAAGTACTCTATGACAGCCACAATTTTTTACTGTATATATCTAGTGACTTTACAATTTATATATTCAAATTTTCTTAGCTTGAAGGACAAGGTCATGGCGCAGTTTTCGACTGTAAGTTCTCACCAGATGGCCAAAGGTTTGCGACGACTGACAGCCATGGGCATCTTGCTATTTACGGATTTGGTTCCAGCGAGCCATATCAAAAGGTTTGTTTCGATATTCAGTGTGACAGTATCTTCTCCTATATTTGTCGTGGTTTTACAAGAAATTAGCTAACTTTTTAGCTTGCCATTTTTAGGTTCCAGGAGAACAGTTCTTCCATTCCGATTATCGTCCTGTGATGAGAGATATCAATAATCACGTCCTGGATGAACAGGTACGTCAGGTTTTTGGCAAACGTTCAGCTAGACAAATTCAAAATCTCACGGCTTGTCATTTGTCAACAAGATGTGTTCGCAATGCTTGTTCCCAGTTGTTGACAAGTCTGGAACAAGGTTGACAGGGTCAACAGACTCGAAACAAATTGTTCCAACAAGTCTGATATCGTCTGCACGTAACAAGTTGTTAACAATTTCATGACAAGAATCTCGTAGCAACTTGTTACGAACAGTCTGTATTAGTCTTCTAGCAAGACTGTTGCTATCATCAACCTTGTAACAAGGTGATAACAACTTGTATAACTGTATAACGAACGAAAGTTTATACACAAATATTTGACCTAAAGTTTGCGAAAAATGCAACTTTAGGCCTTCAAAAATCCCATCTATATTCCGTTTTATCGAACTTCTCGCCTATTCTTCTCCACAGAGCCTTGCGAATTTTTAGTCAAATACGTAATATTAGTATATGGCTTTTCAAAAAATTCTCTATTCTGATTGGTTGACAAGCGGTCCGTAAAAACCCATATCCGGACCGTGGTCCGTATTTTCCGTATCTGGACCTGTGTCCCGGATGTCGTTTATCTGGCGGGAAATTTTTAATTTTCCAATTGTGCTTTAGTGCTTTACCTGTAAAACAAAATTGTTTTTGATCGAGCATGCATGCCTACCGTATATTGTTACCCAGTGAAACTGACGATAGCCGATTTAATTCGCGCGAAAAGCATATGCTCACAGACTCAGTTCAACCGATTATTGAACTCGCTTGTTCGGTCTGTACTGTGAAATATCAGACCTCTGTTTTTTGTATGGACCTCGCTCCTTCGTCGCTCGGCCCATACTAAAAAAACCTCTGTCTGATATTTCACAGTACAGACCTCACGCTCGGTCAATAAGCCGTTATTATACTGGGCAAACAAATTACGTAGTTGCACTATCATAGTGATTTCATAATGTCATCATCATAAATCATAGTGATTTCCTTTGTCTTTTTGTTCATGAATAATTATTGAGTTTTTAAACCACAATAAGTAATTTTACCCTGAGCGGAGAAGAGTGCGAGACGCCCAAAATCTTAATCATTTCCTCTATTAAGTCTAGATTTTTTTCAGACTCAAACAGCTCCCCATCTCATGCCCCCACCGTTCCTGGTCGATGTTGATGGTAACCCGCACCCAGTCTTCTATCAACGCCTCATACCAGGACATAGCAGTAATATACGATCTCGACGTCATGTAGTCACCAGTCCTCCTCATGTGCCAGCCTCTCCTATGCCACCGCTGTTAGCTCGAATAGAAGAGTTCGAACGCGGAGCTGCATTTCCAGATCCTGAAGGTAACACGCTTACCACGTCTGTTTTATCTTGCGCGTAAATGGCAGTCATTTACTGGGTGCCCCCCCCCCAAAAAAAAAACCCCCAAAAAACTATACACTGTTTGATTTAAAATGGAAATTGCTAGATAGTACACTTCAAAATAAGGTTTCCGTTTTTATATCATTTTTTTAAATAGGTTAGGGTTAGGGTTAGGATTAAGGTTAGTATTAGGGTTAGGGTTTAGTTTTGCGTTAGGATGGTTTTTTCTACGTTATAAAAACGGGAACCTTATTTTGAAGTATACTATCTAGCAATTTCCGATTTAAAATAGCAGGAAAATCAGAACAGCCATTATGGTCAAATGAATTTTACGGTACCCAGAAAGGGCTAACTTAAATTTTGATATGTTACAATAGGATTTTCATGCAATATTAACTGAGGTATCAATATTTTAAGTTTTTGACAATGCTAAGAATTTGCGTAAAATGACCTATTAATTTAAATTGTATCTGCATTGATAAGCATGCCATATCGCTTTAGTTGTTTCAAATATCAATATTTTGTCAACTGAAAAAGCTTGTCCTAAAGTGCATTTGCCTGGCAGGAAAGATTCTGTATCGGTCACCAAAGAATATTCGATAATTATTTTTCGTAGGTGTTTGTCATTTCCTTGTGCATTAATTCCCAAAGTTAAGAAATATGGACAAAATCGTAAAGTCTCTGGCTTGCGAAGTTGCAAAATTGTAAATTTAATAGGAAATAATTTGAAATTTAAGCTGGCTTCAATGAAATACTCGATAATCACGAACGAATGGCATATTGTCTCATTCAATCCTACTTCATTTTCTTTGTTCTTTATAGTACTTCAGTCTCCACCCCCCGGCCAGAATGCGCCATCACTAGCCAGTCCGGGGGTAGGCAGTCGTAACAGAGGCCTGCTTCAGGATGGTGATATCGAAGGAGTGAGACAACTGAATGTTAATATCCCGATCATACAAGACGCAACAGAGGCTGATACCAATGCATGGAGAAACAGAACTATCGTACCCAAGTTGAAGGAAAGCGAAGCTAAGTATGTACTGAATTACAAAAATATTTAACTGCACGGGATGGATCTACACTGTTAACCCCCCCCTCCCCCCCCCGTAAGTTTACAGTAAAAAAGTACTGGTAGTTGGGACGCCAGAGAATGTACTGTAAGTTTACGGAGACCTTCCTGTCAAACACACGTCAGATTTCTTTTGAAAGTCCATTATACTATAATTTACGATTACAGTATACTTACTGTAAAAAATAACAGTACATTATTCGGTAAAAAACAGATATTTGTAACAGTGTAGCCTCATCTGCAAGGAGGGGTGCAGGTTTTCCATGGGGTGGTGCATGAGGGAGCCTTACTGCCCACTCTCCTCTGCAGTCTGCAACGCTACTATCGTAACATTATCTGCATGTTCGCCGTTCTGTTACGTTTTACATTATCTTTTGAGCATTAAGTTTATATAGGCTTTTTATCACGTATGATATTAAACTATAAAGCATTCTGAGTATTTTCTCATGAGCTCACAAATCAATTAAATCGTTTCAAGAAATCGCTAACAGTAGAAGTTCCGCTAATCGCTATTCGAAAAGCAGAAAATGTATGGTCAAGCAGATTTTCTTAGGGTGGTGCTGGACTTCTCTAGGGTGTGGACTTCTCCTAGTGTTGGCAAGAAAAGGGGGCTAGAGGGGGATGCCAATTCCCCTATTAGGTCCATTATTGATGATATGCATTTCCTTGCAGTGCCTGTAACTTTCTTCCAATGATTTTCAGATGGGATGAGGAAAGGCGAGTTTTATTAGGACGACAGGAATTGCTCAGATATTTGAGAGAGAAGAAGAAGCGACCGTTACCCTCGACGTCAAGGGTTTGTATTTCCTACTTGCATTTTCACTCACTGTATAATAAAAATCGGACAGTTTTTCTTTGGAGCAAGATCCTTTATGAAGAACAGTTCAGAATTGATAGAGCTAAATCAAGTATAAATGAAGTTGATTTAGGTACCGGTGACACCGGTCCCTATTTTTAGCGGGGATAGCACCGAAGAGGAATGTTTTTCTTGGTAAAACGTTTGCTGATTCAACCATTACAGTGAAAAGTCAAAACATTTTTAGCCAACCTTCAAATATCAATTAAAAAATAAATACCCACCCCTGGCCAAAATCTGTACAAAAAGATGCCATTCAGTTGTCACACATGTCCTTTACCACTTCTGTGAGATGAGTTTGATAACTGCTTGTGAAATTTTCTGCAGTCTAAAGTTTCATGTTGTCTGCACATGTACTTTCTTTGGAGACACCATTTGCCTCCTGACAAATGAAACAAAAGACAATGACTCTGATTGATTGACATATTATATTGACAAATGACTGTTGACACTTTAGTCTTCAATATTTGAGTGAGTCATGTTTTGGAAATGACAATAAATTTTTATTACCCAACCTTGAGTTGTTTTGTTTTACATTTACCCAACTATTTACTCACTCGTTGACTCACTCTTTTCACATGAGTCCGTAGCTAGAATCGAACCCTAGTGATTTTAGTTTCCTCCTGTAGTAATACTGAACTTGCATGCATGAATCCCTAGAGAGAACAGTTTGGAACTTATAGAACTATAAGTGAAACTTAATTCCATTGAATATGTAATTGAATGTTTCAAATGTAGTCTGTGAGTCAAACTGACAAGAAAGCAGAGAGATTCCTGCGCAGTCGTGCTCGTGCCAAGAATCGCCGTGATCGTCCACGTGCAAGCGAACCACGTCCGGTATACAACACACGTGCAGCAGCAAACACGGAGAGTGACGTTGAAGAGTCTGGGGACGAGGAAGTCTCGATCTTACCGAGTGATAGTGATGATGATGATGTACCTTGGCACAGTAGTAGCAGGTGGGATTATCTCATATATACATTACTTGGGTCGATTGTACGAAGGCTGTATAGCGCTATCCACCCGAAGGTGATTTTATCAACCTCTCTACAAATGCTTGTAAAGCTGTGAAACATATGGACCTCACGATTAGGGGTGGATCTAGCCTCATCTGCAAGGAGAAGTGCAGGTTTTCCAAGGGGTGGTGCATGAGGGAGCCTTACTGCCCACTCTCCTCTGCAGTCTACAACGCTACTATCCCAACATTACCATTATTTGAGATCGCCGAATCTGCATGTTCGCCGTTCTGCTACGTTTTACATAATCTTTTGTTTATAAAGTTTATATCGGTTTTTTATCACGTATGCGTGACTGGACAGTTGCTGTAGCACAGTACAGTATACTTGCTTGTTAAAGTACAGTATATTTGAAAAATATGGCTATATAACAACCTCGACCATGATATCTAACAAAAGCATTTTGGATATTTTCTCGTGAGCTCACAAATCAATTAAATCGTTTCAAGAAATCGACACTCGCTAACAGTAGAAGTTCCTCTAATCGCTTTTTGAAAAGCAGAAAATGTATGGTCAAGCAGATTTTTTTAGGTTGGTGCTGGACTTCTCTAGGGGGATGCTAGACACTACTAGGTGGGGTGCGCACCCCCTTGTACCCCCGCGGTATATCCGCCCCTGGTTTAGTTTTTTAGTTTGGTTTAATTTGTAAATCTTTGATGTAATTTGTAAATCTTTCATGAACAGTATGTTTTAATAATCAATAATTGAACTTGCAGTGAAACAAGTGAATATTCAGACTGGACAGAAGAGGTAGGAATGAACACGAGACAACAATCGGAAAGCCAACGACCGAGTCGCCGAGTTCGGCGTGTCATCAGCTCGAGTGACGAGGAAGGAGAGACGTCCACACGACCAACTAAACCTGTTAAGAAAGAAAACGATCGACCAAAAAAGGCACCCAAGAAAAAGAAAAAGAAGGTTGGAGATTAATGCACCAGCCAAGGGTTTATCACCCCACCCC